TTATTGACAGTTTTATGTCTAATGTTCTGCCTGACTCTCGAAACACTGGTGTACTTTCTAAACTTCGCTCTTTTGTTCCTTCTTGTGCAATGATTATGCTATACACTGCCATACTTGAACTACTGTAATATTGTCTGGGCGCGAACGAGTACAAGTAAACTTCACGCACTGCAAGTCACTCAAAACAGATCGAGCCATACGCACATGCACTTTCTCACTTCATCGACACTGCACACCTCATGCACCCCTTTTCACTCGTCTTCGCACTTTGAACATTACTGACCTCAACAAACTACAAACTGGCATATTCATGTTTAAATTTGTCAACAATCTTCTCCCTAGCATCTTTTCTGCATATTTCACACCAGTCCGACAAATACATAATCCCTCAACCAGATCACGCAATGACTTGTTCCTTCCATTTACTCGCACTCTATACGCTTGCCTCACCCTAACGATCTATGGTCCTCGTATGGAACTCCATTCCTAATGACATCAGAACAATGCCGTCCATTGATCGATTCATATCTTTATATAAAACATTTCTTCTTCCTCAATATGTAGCAAAGCCTTCCCTTGTTTTTGTTTAACATCAAATCCTTTACAATTTAATTAATTATTTTTTCTAATTTGCGTGTGCTGTATTCTTTTTGAAATTTCTACCCTAATCCCAGGAATTCGTGTTATCCCTCCCCGCCAACCCTCTCTTCCCTTAACTTCCCACGCAGCGCTTTTTGTCTATAAGTTTGAAGTTTTAAGACAGTTAATGTATTATCATGTCATTTTATGTTTGCGTTAACCCGTTATTTGTTTAAGCCTAGAAAAACCTTGCCCAAATACATTATTCCTACTCATCCCATTTAAATGTAAATCATTTAATTTTTTGGTCTTGAAATGATTTAATCTCATGTTTATGCATATTTTGTTGGTCTTAACCCCCCCCCTTTCATCCCCTCCCCTCCCCAATTACCTCCCATGCCATCTCCTTTTCATGTAATGATGCGATTGATGTATAGTTACAAATTTTTTTTACAACCTAATGGAATGGTACCTTAGGGGGACATTCCCATAGGGTTGTGCACAAAATTTGTCAACCTTTTATGACCCCTATAACCCCAATTTCTCTTATTCTGTCCAACCCCCACGAATTCTGGTATGTTTACGTCTTGGACCATGATAATTCGATCTAGCTTATTTGCGACTACAAATTTTGCCTCTAAATGGGAGCTGTGACATGAGGGAATGTGCGGTGTCTCTCTGAGGTATAACTTATCACGAAAAATGTCTCCTTAACGATACATTAACAGGAATGAAATTAAGTCATTTGCTGCACTTGTAAAGGTAGCTAAAATTACTATCATCAATTAAAGTTACTACGCTGCTGGCGGTGACAACTGAGACATGATTATAAACCAATTAATAATAAAAACGTAATAATAAAATATACGTCTGACCAAGTCGAAAAAGATCTTCTGACATGCTTCAACCACAAAAGTAAAAAAAAAGTAAAGGGGTTAAAGAAAAATTGACGATTTTGTGACATCTCAAACTAATATACTTTTCAGCGTGTATGTACGCTTGGCAACAAGATGGCGCCCTGCTATTCAATTGGTCGAGCGCTGTAAGAACAGCTCTTTTTTTTTACGTTTGGTAAATGCCCTCTTCTGAGTTGTATCGCCTCGTGTCATTGTGTATGATAGAGGCCGCTATAACGATTTAACAGAATCCCTGATAGAACTTAAAGGTGTCTTGCAAATCATTTTTTTGACCTACGGTATTCGGGTATAGTATATAATTAAGGTTGTCAAATTCTGAGAATAGTTTAGTCTGAAAGGCTAAGGCCCTGTCCAATACCGACATAGTTATGTTTTGACTAAAGTCATTAAGCCAGTGCAATGTTTAATGCATTTTTATAAATAAATACATCTCGGACGTACTACCGCTCTCGCGAGTAAATGGTTGCGTATAAGGGAATCTTTCCCGCATAATATATGAGTATTCGTGACATTTATTTATGACATTATTGATGACAATAATTACGAAACCTAATATCGGTCAATGTCACTCAAGATACTGGTATATCTGTCATTGGACGGCTGAGATCTGTTATGTTGGTTGTGAGATAGCATTAGACCGGCTCTGTTGGGTGGAAATTACCAAGCTTAATTGCAGAAGCATTTTCTAAATAAGTGTCCTTGACGGTAGATGCATTTAAATTTGATTGCAAAACACATTAAATTGCGTGGAGTACATGTTATATACCATTCGAATAATTTACTCACAAAAGAAAACGCCCTCTGTTGACGGCTGGCATAAGCCAACATACGATGCAGTCGCTAGAAAGATAAATTAGCCGAATACACACTGCACCGCGTCAAATAACACCTACAAGCAAATGTCCCGTCCTTGGTTACGAGAGTGAGCAAATATTGACTCATTCTGACGGGACCTTGTAATTTGTCATGTTTAACCTTCGATCTATAGTGCGCCAGCAGTGATGGCAACTTTTAAATGAATAGTCAGTATCATATATGCAACAACATACAAAGCGGTATGTTTTTGTTCTCCATAAATCACTGCGCAGATTGTGCGTGATCAGATAGAATGGGAGTTGCCTATTGACCTCACAAACCTCACAAAAAGTATCTTATGGAATAAAGACTTTAAAAAACTGACAAAGAGATTATGTCGTGATTTGTTATCCACGCGGAAAGTTTCCTTTTGGTTAAGGCAAGAGGAAACCACTGGATCCATCTGGAGGAAACCGGACAAAAGCAATCCAAAGTGTGATTCGTATTTCACCAATAGTTGCAATGATATTTGAATTTATTGACAGCGGGAGGATGTCCAAAGAGCTAGATTTTTTTTAGTAGAGAGTGAAAGGTGACCTCAAAATCCCGCGAGATATTACGGAAGTACGTGACTTTTGGTATTATATTGGTGTATAACGTGTACAACGTCCTTTTTTCTAAAACAATTGTTTCCTGACTCAGCATATTCGGTCAAGTCCAATAAATAATTTCTGTAAAAAGAGCATTACAATTCACATATTTTGAAAGTATTGCGAGTTAATAACCATATCAAGATGATTGACTTTAACTTTCAGTGTTTGATAATAAGATGTTCGTGAACTGATCAGCTGCAGCCTTAGCCAGACTACTGTCAAACCGAGTAAAAATTACCAGACCAATATTGATAAGATTATATACCAAAGGATATACTAATATCAAATCTGTTTCTAAGATCTCTAACAAGATTGTTTGATTGCGTGATTAAAAGCAAATTCGGCGCCATTCATAAAAAAAAATTGTAGGATTAATTCGACTGCCCCCCCCCCCCATGAAACCTTGTCGCCCCCCACTGAGATTTTGAGTTTCTAAAAAAAATATCATTGATCTACATGACGCCATGGACCCTATTATGTACTACAATGTATCTTTTGCTTAGAAAATATTGGTTAAAGTGGTCAGAAATTGCCTCAGATAGCACCACAGAGCATTTAGAATCCAAATTTTTTCGGAGCCCTTAAGCGGGCCCCGAACCCCACGCCTATAGCTCAGAATGCTGGTAGCTGATTCAATGACTCCAACCTCGAAATCAATGTTCACAAAATTTCCTTATGCCTTAAGCTGAGAAAACCTCGAAAATTATGTTTAAATTAGTATCTTTTGTGCTAAGATAATTATTGGTTAAAGTGGTAAGAAATTGCCTCAGATCACACCTCAGACCATCGAAAATCCAAATTTTTTCGAGGCCCTTAAGCGGGCCCCGAACCCCACGCCAATAGCTCAGAATACCGATAGCTGATTCAATGTCTCCAACCTCGAAAACGATGTTCAAATAATTATCTTTTGCCAAGAAAATATTAGTTAACGCATGGAGGAAAGTCGTAAGAAATTCCTTCAAATCACACCACAGAACATCTAGAATCCAATTTTTTTTCGGGGCCCTTAAGCGGGCCCCAAACCCCACGCCGTAAGGGCTTCGCGCTTCGCGCTTGCATCAGTTATGATCAAGGTATGTCCCCCCCCCCCCACTTTTGAGAAACGATTGACGCCCCTGCTTGACGCCCCCCCCCCCATGTGCCAGCCCCCCCGCCCCCCCACGCCCCCCACTGAAAAATTCCTGGCTACGCCACTGGTCGCATTTAACTTTATTTTTAATTTTGGTGTTGCCATTTCAAGGGTATTGTGGTGCCTTTTTTGGTGTTTATGCTAATGCGAATTTCTATATTCGTGAACAAAAGTGTGATGTCATTTCAGGCAGAAACCTCATCGTTGCAGCTATTTTACACCAACAGTTGAATTGCCAGAACTTTGGATATTTTGCCGAAGTAAGTTTCGTTACTTTGGTGATTTGTTGTTGTGTCAGTAAATGTACATGGCAGTAAGCCACTGAACAAAGTTTTACCACAAAATAATTTTTCAATTAACACATTTTTGGGTTCACAATTTGAACAGAAAATTTCTAAATAGCTACAGCGCCCTCCGTTGTCTGGAAAAGCATGGACAAATTTAAATGTTTAAAGAAGTGCACTGTTCATTAAAATAACCAAAAAGTAGGTCTGATGTTTTTCATACATTTTAAGAGGAGTAGAAAGTTGTACAAAATGTGTTCCTCAGAAACATTAATCTCATATGGACCCTTTAACTAATACCTAGCTATTGCCTATATTGCCAACAGTCGCTACAAATAACAATACTAGATCGGTGTTGCTTGCCAGTTGAAAATCTCAGTTGACTGCTGTCCACCGCGTGTTAAAGGCATTAAGCTACATCTATGGCGTCCTTGAGTGTGGTGAACGACCGCCAATGGCAAAATAATGTCTTGTTAATTAATCCTAGCTCCAAAGCCAAAATGTCTGTAGGGCACAGACAACGCACGACGGATACGACGGGCATGAAACAGTCGTGTGCCTTCGACGATGCTAATTATCTCTGGATCATATTGCTGCATGGCCACGGTCAACGCGCGCAGCAGTGTGACGGGCCGATGTTTTATATGTCGTGCGACCTGCAAAGAGCAGTCCCGTTTTCTTGGGCTCCTCTCCCGTCGATACGTATTAGCTGCTGGGATAGCGACAGACACACATCACTAAATGGGGTTCTTGTGCGCTCTACGAGCAATGTCATAAAACCCAAGCACCAATATGCTTAGTTATCTATGATCAGCACACTAGTAGCACGATGCTCATTTGACCCCTCGCCTCATGAATAATCATAACCGGACTGCATGCACATCGAGCATACCGCTCAGCCTGTGATGTTTGTGTACAGTATGTGCCACATGAGCGTGCGCTGATGATAGATGCAGCTTTACGTTGCGCTGTCTTCACACGCTGATGCTAGCGCAGCCATCTACTAGTGCTAGACTATACGCGGCGCTCCGTGACGGTAGGGGAAATCGGAGGACAAGTGGAGGACTGACTGCATCCTTAATGGTCACCTTGGTCACAACAGGAGAAATGACATCAACGATTGTATCGCAACAGCATAAGGTCAGTATAATTACGGTGAATATCATAGTGTAATTTATCGGTTTGGTGCTGTACGTATGTAAACGCGGGCGGGCAGCATATTGTGTGTTGTTGCATTGCTTGAAAAATGCCTGGATTATATGTTACTACAGCCCATTGCATCCATGATTAGATCACCATATTTCTGTACTATATGTTCCAATCTTTATTTAAATGCAAATGGGCGCCGAATTGATACATCTCTCCTTTGTTTACTTGGTAACTAAAATAAATTCAGTCTCCAAATTATACAGAATCTATCTGATCTGCCATCTAATATTTTGAGGTGTTGCCAGTATATCTGGATAGAATGTTCCATGGAACTTCAGGCTCAAAACAGAAAACCTGTACAAATCCGTATCTCAGCTAAAAAAAGAGGGGTTGGGGGAGCAAATTACCGCGGCCCTGTATATTTATTTTAACTTACACTTATGACCGCCCATAATGTTCTGATTACTTATAGGAATCGTAGTGCGTGTCCTCAGTATTAGAGCGAGCATGAAGACATAAGCACCTGCATAAAGGATAATTGGTACAGGAAGTTGTATGTGCATCATTCGTATATACAACATCGGAATTCATCTGACAGAGCTGTTCGGCCATAGAGCAAAGCCGGACTCGTATTGTTTCAGACTGGCTGAAGCACTGAGGGCTTTCCTCTGCATGCTCTATGGATTCAGCACCTGTTTCGTATTGCTAAAACATTATCAGCGGTTACAGTCTGGCCTTCGGATTGTCAGCACATTATGCATTCACAGTTTGACGGTTAAACTGAAATGATTCAAGCCTCGCCCATAAGTGCAACATATTCCTTGCAGGCAACTACAATTTTGTGGATTCGGTCTGAGCATGGTCTGAACTTTCGGAAAAGTAACAAAACTTGCAAAGGTGAGCCTGAGGCTGCATCCGAATCAACTGTCTAGAGCTAGGTCTAGGTCTGCGCCCATTGAAAATACGCGGGGACGCGCTGACAATAGACGTAGCCTGAGATAAAGCAAATACGGCTTGCAGTACGCTTGCATGACTTTGCTTGTGCGCACCAAATGGAATTAATATTTGCTTCCAAATGTTAAATGGTATAAAAAAACACCACATCATTTGACACCGTGTTTAACCGATGCAGTATATACGTACAGTGTTTGGATTTCCTGCAGGACAGCTTCTCTCTGTTAATTTAAAAGAAAACTCAAAAAGAAATGTGTGCCCACTGCAGGAGCTCGGGTGTCGGCTAAAAGAAACGCCGTAATGTCACGTACGTTACTGACCGTCTATCGCCCAGAAGGACTCCTCGGAAAATGCTAAAGGTTTCCCGGAGTCGGTCACAGTAATCAAATTCTGAAAAAACGAGGGTAGAATTCGCGGAGGGTGTAAGTTGAGCGAGTTGGCCAGTATTTCGCACCCTCGAGCTATCGGCACTGTGTAGCCAAGTAGTTCAGCTATGTGAGCCGCAATCGGAACGGAGCTGCATTTGAATATACCCACCGTTGGCACACTTTAAACGTAATGAGCGATGGAACATCAGACTTTGCATCATTTTATGCGTGTACAGCAGCTTTCTAAGACGCTTTGGTTATTAGGAGCAATAAAAATAACGCCAACTCAAAGTATGTCATGACACAAGATGACTGTTACAGTGGACTATTTGGAGATGAGATATTGAAAAGGTCAATGACATGAAGTTAACGCAGCAACATAATTTTGATGCAAATATCAATAATTCCTCTGAAATGTAACACTAGGAGCGCATGTTTTTGGTTTAGCTGCACCTTTTTCCACATTAAAAACGTCTCATGGTTTTCCTCACAACTGAGCTAAGCGCTCTTGACGTGAGAGAGTTAAGAGGTTTTCTGTTCAAACTGTGGTCCCAAAAACTTTGCTCATCGAACAAATGTGCTTAAGTTTCTGTCTTGAACAGTTTTGCTTATGAATGTGGAAATTCGCATTAGCATAAACCCCCCCCCCAAAGGGGTCACCAAAACACCACTGAAAATGGTCATATGCAGATTAAAAGATAAAGATATTTATGGGACACAATAGTGCATAATTTAAAAGATATATGGGACACAATAGTGCATTTAAAAGACAGCATTAACAATTATTACACGGGTCCCTGTTTAGAAAGACATCCCACAGAAGATTAGCAAGCTTCAGTGTCTTTTGAAACTTCCGACAGATTGGAAAACATGCACTGGAGGCTTGGTAAAAGCACTCAACGCATGTGACCAGGTGCCAACCTTGCCATCTTTGTGTGGACCTGGAAACAAAACAGGTCCACACGATGCAGGTTGTGTGAACCTTCTGTGGACTAAGCCAGGTTTCCCCCTCTCTGGGAAAACAGGTTTAGAGGCATTTTTGGGTAAGGGTTATCCGTAGTATAAAACGAAGAGGAACACTCCAGCAAATCATGATAAACAAAAAAATTGGGTTGAGAGAGTATTCACAGCGCGAGTAAAAGTAGTTGTTTTTTTCTCCGGTTTCTTTTTTACTACACAAAGACAAAGGAATTTCCACACTAGGTGTTTAAAAGGTAGGCGTGCGCGTGTGGTTACTGATGCGAATCCCTCTCTATTAACCCATCAATATAGTCCCGCCACTTATTACAGCCTGGTACATATAACGAAAGTAACAACACGAGGGATTTGATATTATATAGGGACTATTAGAAATGATGCGGGTACGTAATATAAATAGGAACTGCGGGAAATGATGCGGGTACAGGACACGTAAACTATATGGCTCGGGAAAAACATAACTGTTTATGTAAGCACTTTTGTGGTTATTTCTCCAAAAGCTATAATTAACATGAACATTTGAACATTTTTTATGTGAAATACGCTTTGACCATAGTTTTTCAAATGAAACAACCACGCAAAATGTTGCCTTAACAAGCAGCCCTTTCCGAGCCGCACATACATGGTTGTCCCACAAAAAAACCTAACTGTCGAAAAGCATTCAACAAAGGTATGTTGCATGTGGATTTTAGAATATTTTCAAATTACCTCTTAAAGTCAGATAACCAATCTACCATACAAACTTTATTTCATTCAAATCAATGCATTGAAACAAACGCTATGCTTCATCGAACTCAAGGGTTGAAAATCGTCTTGGGCCACTTTCCTTGAAAGTAAGAAAGCGCAGTAATAGAGAAACGCACAAAGGAATTATTTCCTTGGTTCAAGAGTAACATGTGACTTATTCTACCTACTTCGATTTGTAAATTTTATAAATATAAAAAGTGGCCCATATGGTTTTTCGAGTCCCGTATTGTGATTGCTGTATCTTCTAACATCCTATTGAAACCAACTAAAAAGGATTTGGAAGACCATTTATTCTACTTATTAATACATTAGACACGATTTTGAATATTGCACCACTTTTTTTTCAAAACATTCCCGATTCGACTGTTCGGTTTTCTTTTTGGGGACAACCTGAACGCATCCTGTATGCATATACCATTCCTAATGGTAACAAATAATTTCACACTTGCACGTAAGCACGGTGCGGTTTTACCATTTAAAAATGAGGAGATGATAATAGCTAAAGTGCGGTTTTTAATTTATCCCAGCCGACGTCGCTCTTTTCCACATTCGTTATTCAGACGGAAATAAATATGCTCATTAAATTTTGGTACGATGGTTGCATTAATTAAGATCAGCCTATTATAAAAGCTGCACATGTGGAATTTTAATGAAGTTATGCTTTTGAGATCGTCCGCACGACCAGACGTTGTATAAATTATACATTATATCATTATAGGCCTACGTGTACATTTTTTCGATCACTCATGCACCCTCACCATCAGCCTACGGCAAATTGATGTGCTACATTAAACATGCGCTCCTTCAGTCAATTAATAGAACAGTTTCTCATGATGCACTTAACAGGCTTGTTATGAGTGAAATTTTGCCTAAATTTACATGAACTTCGGAGGCCTTTTGATTTTGTTGACAAGTCTTTCTACAGGGTGAGTGAAAACAGACGAAACCCAAATGGCAGGACTAATTTTTGAATGCAGTAAATCCTGTAACACTTTCAAAATTTAGGATATAAAAGCTCAATTAATGAGCTTTCTTTTAAAACAAGAATCATTCAAATCTCTCATTTACTTTTCAAGTTACGGACGTTTGAAAACAAACACCGTTTTAAAGTTCTGTCCACGGATCACAAAAATAGGTAAGTGTTCTTTCAGCAATACGAAAGCAAATCACATGAATCCCTATGAGACTTTTTTTTTCGTTTTGCTGAAAGAACACTTACTTTGTTATGACCCGTGGACAGAACTTGAAAAGGACTGAGCGATTTGAATGATTCTTGTACCAAAAAAAAGGTTAATGCCTGGGCTTTCATTATCCTAAATTTTGAAAGTGCTACAGGCAAAACTTCCTTCAAAAATTGGTCCTGCCATTTGGGTTTCGTTTCTTTTTGACTCACACTGTACACTCAGCAGACATGATCGACACCTGACGATCCATCAAAATGCTCGATCATCCAGCCTATTAAACTTCTTAGATGTAGCTTTGCAATGTTCAATATTCAGTAGCCTCATCCTTGAGAAGTATACCCCGGAATGCACTCTCCCTCTGGAACAGGATAATTTGAATAATCGTTTAACCCTAAAGGAGCCGGGTTATTTCGACCATCTCTCAGCCGGGGGGGGGGGGGGGGGGGGTGGCGGATTCCGCACCCCCCCTAAGATCTCGGCCATCGAGTGACAAAAAATTTTGAAACTCGGCACATGCATAGAGCAACTCTTCCTAAACATACCGAAGAAATTTCATGACTATAGGTCAAAGGGTTTTGGAATTATGGCTCATTAATTAATCATATGTACGAACGGCAATTCTGCTCTGTGTACACGACGTATATGTGAAAATTCAGTTTTCACGGAAAATTTTTCGCTACGCGGCAACCCGTGGTCCAATTTTTATGTTTTTGGTATCAAAAGATGCACAAAGCTCGAGGCTAAAAAGTCATAACAGCTC